CACACACAAATATGTATAAGCTGAATTATTTACTATTAACATAATACTAACAACCTGGTAACAGTAAAGTAACAGAAATTCCAATTCTGGATATCAGTGGTGAAGCTAATCGCTGGTACATCTTTTATCATTTTTAATACGTGTTTGCATACTTTTTTGTACAGCTCAGGTAGAGCGCGTCTCAAAAGTATTTCCATAATGGCAAACTATACCGTGGTTCAAAGTGTTCAATGGCAGTGGAATCCCTCATTTTCTACAACTGCGAGGGGTTGCTCATCCAGAACAATCAATTTGAGTTTCTGTTATTTTTGTTGCTTTTACACCATTGCTGGGGAGTTTCTCGCGTTTTTGCAATGCTGATTGTAGAGTTAACTGCTTCGAACAGTCCCCAGTTTTTCTTCTGTTCAACTCCTCACACTCTTTGGCATGATGCTCCTGAAGCGCTTTATTAAGTTGGTTGTATTATACTTTGCAGTGCTGCTGCCTCCCCGCGAAACATTGTAAACAGCCGTGGTACTTGTTGCTGTAACAAGAAATACATCCACACAGATGACATTTTGTTGTTAGCTCCCTCCATACTGCTAACTGTTCTTGTAGCTTTTCTTAAAAAAATGTGCTGGTTTAATTACGTGCCACTGATGCATAATGGAGTTTGCGCGCTCTTGACATAGCTTCCGCACATGTACGAATACAGAAAAACTTCATAATTTAATCAAATAGATCGTCCTAATGCTACCGATATTTGATCCACCTATTTAAGCCATTAATGCAACCATATCCGATATAGGTATTGGATCGGTGCATCCCTTCTGTATATCATTTTGGTTGTGAGATTTGAATTAAAAACCATCCTTATTCCATGCAGTTGTACCTTGGAGTTGTGCTTTCTGCTGTCGTCATCATCACTGGCTGCTTCTCCTACTACCAAGAGGCAAAGAGCTCAAAGATCATGGACTCTTTCAAGAACCTGGTCCCCCAGGTGTCATCTTGTGGAATATATATATATATATATATAAATATATTATACATTATTATATACAATATGTGTGTGTGTGTGTGCGTATGTATACATATATATTATTTAGGGGTGCACCGATTGCAGTTTTCTGGCCGATCAACGATCACCGATCCTTAGGCAACCTTCCCTGCCGATCTCGATTTTTTTTTGCCGATCTTGTTTCTTTCATAACTAAAAGACATCTAATTTTGTAAAAAAATATATATATATAGCTGTTATGACACACTTGTCCAAAAAATAGGGAGGGAGGCAGCCTGCACTGCACCTCTCTCGGGAATGGGAGAAAAGGCTGATTTAAAAGCATATAACTAAGATCGGTGGATCTCATGGGAATATGGTCGATTTCTGATCCCCTCAAATTAACGTGATCGAGGCCGATCGATCGGTGCGCCGATCGATCGGTGCACCCCTAATATTATTATATACAATATATATAATGTTGCTGTTGTATGTATGTATGTATGTATGTATGTATGTACGTACAGTGGTACCTCAGTTCTCGAACTCATTAGATCTCGAATTTCTTAAAAGTCGAGCAAACCAGTTCGAAAAAAAAATTACCTAGAGCTCAATCTGAATCTCAGAAGTCAGACCGTGAACGCCGACCTAAGATAACTTGTACACGTGGGGAAATGAGTCACATGGCACATCTGTCAGCGGAAACAAAGGGTAAAGCTTCAGTCTCAGCCTCACATTCGCTGTGATAGCATTGTGCATGTTTACACTAGCTGAATACATATATTTAGACGGTAAAAATACATTTAGACAATGATAGACAGTAACAGTGATTATTATTATATAATAAAATACATTTAAAAATAAAGATTTCTTATTCATTATTTTAATATTAATAATAAACCATTAATACATTTAATTATAATAATATTGTCGTGCAGAGCGGGGATGGAACGGACAAAGCCTCAGACGTCAGGGTATCGGGGCATACAGGGCTTAATTAAAGGCAAGGCAGGCAAAACGCAGACGGACAATACAATGACCGGACTGGGGAAATAAACTGAAACGCGGACGAAATAGAGGGCTAATGAAAACGACCAGAAACAGCTGATCACACGGGGATTCAACATAGGTTTAACGAGGGGGCATGGCACACGGAAGGAGCAGACAATCGGGGCAGGACACATTGTTTTTTTTAACTTTACACATTGATTGGATACATTTATTTTCTTACTCCTCTTATATGCTCCTCTTGTTTTATCCGGTTCATTTTGTGTTTAAATGTTAAAAAAGAAACATATTCAGGTGTAATTTTTTGGGGCCGGGAAGCAATTAATTGGCTTTCCATTATTTCTTATGGGGAAAATTCGATCAGATCTCGAACTTTTTAGGATTCGATCCGGAGTTCTGAACAGATTAAGTTCGAGTTTTGAGGTACCACTGTATATATATGTATAGCAAACATATTTTAGACTTTGCTTGCTCGGCTTTTCTCTGTGAAGGCAAACTCAACTGTGCATGTCTTCTAGCAAGCCTTGGTGATCCGTGATGGTGAGAAGAAGAGCATCAATGCTGAGGATGTGGTGGTTGGAGACCTGGTGGAGGTGAAAGGAGGAGACAGAATCCCCGCTGACTTGCGCATTATTTCTGCTCATGGATGCAAGGCAAGTTGGTAACATTTTTCTGTCTTTATGTTCTAGCAGGTATAAGTAAACTTGTGTTTCTTGATAAAGTGATTATTCTTGTCTTTGTTCAGGTGGATAACTCATCCCTCACTGGTGAATCTGAGCCTCAGACTCGGTCTCCTGACTTCTCCAATGACAATCCTCTTGAAACAAGGAATATTGCATTCTTCTCCACCAACTGTGTAGAAGGTAGGCCACTTGATCTACTATGCATATAATCTAGTATCCGGTTAAAAGAATTTTCTGCAATAACGGATATGTCTTTGATTTTTTTAACAATTATTAAATGGTAGTCATTCGGCACTGTGTTGAGGTGCAAAAGATCATTAATCATGTGCATGTTTTCCCAGGCACTGCCCGTGGTATTGTTATCAACACTGGGGACCGTACTGTGATGGGCCGCATCGCTACCCTTGCCTCTGGTCTAGAAGTTGGACGTACCCCAATCTCCATTGAAATTGAGCATTTCATCCACATCATCACCGGTGTGGCTGTCTTCCTGGGCGTGAGCTTCTTCATCCTGTCCCTAATTCTGGGTTACTCATGGCTGGAAGCTGTCATCTTCCTCATCGGAATCATTGTGGCTAATGTGCCTGAGGGGCTTCTGGCCACTGTAACTGTGAGTGTTGGGGTCAACCCTTGTAATTATACTAAACTGTAAAGATTAGCAGAGGGAAAAATCTAAGCATTTTGTAGGCATATCCACCTGCTTTGCTCATCATATTACTTCCTTCTTCCAGGTGTGCCTGACCCTGACTGCCAAACGTATGGCTAAGAAGAACTGCCTAGTGAAAAATCTGGAGGCTGTGGAGACCCTGGGCTCTACCTCCACCATCTGCTCTGACAAGACAGGCACCCTAACTCAGAACCGCATGACTGTGGCTCACATGTGGTTTGACAACCAGATCCATGAGGCTGACACCACGGAGAACCAGAGTGGCACCTCCTTTGATAGGAGCTCTGCCACTTGGGCTGCTCTAGCCAGAGTTGCAGGCCTCTGCAATCGTGCCGTCTTCTTGGCTAGTCAGGAAAACGTCCCCATCCTCAAGGTGAGTTCTCATTCCATTTTCTAGTTTTTGTTCCCTAAAAATAGTTTTCCCCCACACATTACCGAGTTGTGTGTAAAGGGTAATGGCTCTATACTTAAGATGCATCTTTATCCTCCTGAAACCCCACCCATTCATTTATGTTCATTGCAGTGGACATTTTATTTTTGCATCTATCTTTTCACTGATGTAAGGAAAAGTATTTATTCCTGTTGTACACTAAAGAGGACATGCTGTGAAATAAAAAATAAAAATAAATTTGAAAAAATCTAAATTGTAAGATGTCTTATTTCCTCCAAAGACAAATAACCTAAAATTGAAGGACACTTTTTTCCTTGGGTCTAAGGAGGATATACAATATTAATGTGGAGTGGGACTCAAATAGTATGAATTGTCATATCTGTGAGAAAAAAACTCTACAATATACATTTTCATGCAGAGTGCGCGCAGTACAAGTGATACTTGGGCGTACTGGCTAAGCACAGCATTTTTCCAAATTTAGTCTGTTTGAGCTTGTTCTCTGAGGAAAAGCTCAGGATTTCAGTTACCTCTGAAACGCAGTATTTTTGCATTTTTGTGATGTTTCTTGTAATAGCTTGTCATTGGGACATACTATAAGTCACATGATATAGGCTAAACTGGCGCTGTTCCTGATATTGTGTTTGAACCCAACCAACTCGACACAATCTTTAAACAATTGGTACAATCCTCGGTACAATCTTTAAACAAACTTCCCTTATCATAAATTATCCTTCTTTATCACAGTTGAATTCTTATGCCTTATTTGCATATCGTACAATGAAATTATGAAATGAGATTTTTCTCCTTAGAATTTTTTGGAATCATACTAAATGATCTGTGGATATTATCTGTTCCTTTTTTCCTTAGAGGGATGTTGCAGGGGATGCCTCAGAGTCAGCCCTGCTGAAATGCATTGAACTGTGCTGTGGCTCTGTGAAGGACATGAGGGATAAGTATCCCAAGATTTCAGAGATTCCGTTCAATTCCACTAACAAATACCAGGTAAGACAATCTTAACCTTGTAATTCTACTATAATGACCCAGGTTACTTTTAGTGAAAACTTCTTTAACATACCAGCCTCTCATCCTTGCAGCTTTCCATCCACAAGAACCCTAACACCTCTGAGTCAAAGCACTTGCTGGTCATGAAGGGAGCACCAGAGAGGATCCTGGACCGCTGTTCCACCATCCTGATCCAGGGCAAGGAGCAGCCCCTGGATGATGAGATGAAGGATGCCTTTCAAAATGCCTATCTAGAGCTGGGAGGCCTGGGAGAGAGAGTGCTGGGTACAGTGCATATAATGCCCCTGAGGATGTTTTCCAATCAGTGCCCCAGTGTCTTGTGTGGTGATAGAAGTGTTGATCCAGCAGTTTACATGTTACATGTCACAAATATGCTCTTTGATATTGTTTAGCAAACATTAATTTTCAGGAAATGTAACATGAAGAACTGAATAAATGTACATTTTCATAAGCAGTTTTCATCTTGCTAAAAAAATTAAGCAAAGTAATGGATAAATTGTGCTTAAGGTGGGGTTGCTTTTTTTGTAGGATTCTGCCATTTCTTCCTTCCGGATGACCAATTTGCTGAAGGCTTCCAGTTTGATACCGATGATGTGAACTTTCCCACTGAAAATCTGTGCTTTGTTGGTCTTATGTCAATGATTGACCCTCCCCGTGCTGCAGTGCCTGATGCTGTAGGCAAGTGCCGGAGTGCTGGCATCAAAGTATGTCTGTCAAGTTCTCAGTCTCAGTCTTATCTTTGAAAAAATTACCTACTTTAACATTTCTGGCATTTCATAATTAATATTCCACTCTGGATTTAGGTTATCATGGTTACTGGTGATCATCCAATCACAGCTAAGGCCATTGCTAAGGGTGTGGGCATCATCTCAGAGGGCAATGAGACTGTGGAGGACATTGCTGCCCGGCTGAACATTCCTATTCATGAGGTCAATCCCAGGTAAAATAATTGAATTTTATGGTTAATGAGTGTTGTATACTTATTTAATATATCTGGAATTACTACATTGTCTATACTATCGCTTCCCTGTGGTTTATTTAAATAGTTATGAATTAACAATGAAATATCACTATTTTTTATGTAGAGATGCTAAAGCTTGTGTGGTCCATGGTGGTGACCTGAAAGATTTGACCTCGGAGCAGCTGGATGATATCCTGAGGTATCACACAGAAATCGTTTTTGCCAGAACATCACCGCAGCAGAAGCTCATTATTGTGGAGGGTTGCCAGCGACAGGTGAAAGATACCATAATGACATTGTTCAGTATTTTCCAGCTGTTGCATTTAAGTGTGCTTTTATTGGTCCAGTTATGTTTGGGGGGGGGGTGCCTGAGATATCATAGACTGACCTAAACAAAACTGTGGACCTACAGCAGTTGGGTTAGGTCCATCTCTCCAGTTCCAGTAGTACCTTGAATGAACTTGTTGATGTGAACCTACAGGGTGCCATTGTAGCTGTGACAGGCGATGGTGTCAATGATTCCCCCGCCTTGAAGAAGGCCGATATTGGCGTGGCTATGGGCATTGCAGGATCTGATGTCTCCAAGCAGGCCGCTGATATGATCCTTCTGGATGACAATTTTGCCTCCATCGTCACTGGGGTTGAAGAAGGTAAAACAAGTTCAAATAAATGAACATAAGAACTATACAAACGAGAGGAGGCCATTCGGCCCATCGAGCTCGCTTGGGGAGAACTTAACTAATAGCTCAGAGTTGTTAAAAAGGAACCCAAGGATTCAGCTTGCACTATGTTATCAGGAAGACTATTCCATACTCTGACTACATGCTGTGTAAAGAAGTGCTTCCTTAAATTCCCGCTAATTTCCACCTATGGCCACGAGTTCTTGTATTTGAACTAATGCTGAAGTAACTATTCGGTTGAACAGCATCCAAACCTGTTAGAATCTTATAGACCTGGATCATGTCCCCCCTCAGTCTCCTTTGCTTGAGGCTGAACAGATTTAGCTCAACTAACCTTTCCTCTTATGACATTCCTTTAAGACCAGGAATCATTCTTGTGGCCCTACGCTGCACCTTTTCTAATCCCGTAATGTCCTTTTTAAGATATGGTGATCAAACCTGCACACAATATTCTAGGTGAGGTCTCACCAAGGAATTGTATAATCTTAGCATTACCTCCCTTGACTTAAACTCCAGACACCTGGAGATATACCCCAACATCCTGCAGCCCAGTCTGCATTTCCCCCAAATTACGTATGACCTCTCTGTCACTGACTATGTTCTCTATTTTCTCTAGGCCGTCTGATCTTTGACAATCTGAAGAAATCCATTGCCTATACTTTGACCAGCAATATTCCTGAGATTACACCCTTCCTGCTCTTTATTATTGCCAACATCCCTCTGCCCCTGGGAACAGTCACCATCCTCTGTATTGACTTGGGCACTGACATGGTGAGTGAAGAAAATGGCCTTGCTAAGTAGATCAAGTTCCTTATCACTAATATCCTCTTTTTAAACCGGCAGGTTCCTGCTATCTCCCTGGCTTACGAAGCTGCTGAGAGTGATATTATGAAGAGGCAGCCAAGGAATCCCAAAACAGACAAGCTGGTGAATGAGAGGCTCATCAGCATAGCCTATGGTCAGATAGGTAAGATCTTGGGTTCACCGAGTCCATCATCTTGGACTAGAACCTATGCATTCTGTGGTTTCTGAGGTCTGAGTGTCTGCAGCAGTCTCTTTATTATGGTGTTTTTCCATGACCCGCAAATATAATCTCTGGTGATAAGCACTGTGCTAGTATTGGGGCTTATTTCAGAACTGTCTTGGGGGTTGTACTTTAAAGGAGACATATGCTAAGCATATATAGTACTTCTGGTCGCAGTAGCATCTTCTCTGGTCTTCTAGATACGTGTTGTCAATATTCATAAATAACTGAATTATTTATTGACAAAGAGAGGGATTTCTATTAAGAATGAAGAATTCATTTATTAGAAGGAAATCAAAGATTAATAAATAATGCAAGTCTGGAGAGCAACTCCTCTGTTTCACCTTCAGCTCTCACACTTTAACTCGTCTTATCCCATTATTTGCAGAAGGATGGCAGTATCGGTTAGATAGCACTGTCTAGGGGTGGGCAGTACACCGGTGATTTTTTGCCACGGTATGGATTTACACTATACCGTTAACACCGCGAAAATTGAGGATTTTAATTACAGAACAGCTTATTTATAAAAATAAAACATTTTATTTTCCTCAAAGCTTCAATTGTAATCTAAATACTTGTCGTTAAATAGTATATGTAGCTAGTTTATCTACGTTGTGTCAAATATCTATTAAACGCACTCCGACAAAGTGTTTCAATAGCAAATTAACAAATTCAAAATAAACAGATTTTGTGTAATTTATACTCATTAAACAAAATATCCTGGTTATATAGTAGCAAATTAAAATAAAACATTAGCCAAATCAGCATATATATGTGCCGCTGTCTTCATGCAAGGTGCGTGATACACGGCATAGCTACCCAGTTAATACTAGAACCGCCAGTTTCCCATATCAATAAACGTCAAACACCTTTAACTTCAAGCAAGACATAATTGGGCTTATGCGGCCTTTTTGTTTGTGCTAATGTGTCATTTGTGTTAACAGTAGCGAATCTAGCAAGAAGCCATAATATTCCTAATAGAAAGGCTGCTCTGTCTTGAAATCGTACAGCTGAAAAATTTTCAAAGCAGTATTTTATAAAATGCTGGATAAATGGATATAGATAATTGGTGATTTCATGTTCGTCAAAGATTACCTTTTTTAACAACTGTATAAAGTAATGTTGTTTTTATAAAAAAAAAACTTACGATTTCAGGGTTGCCTATTCTCACGCATCTGGCCTGACACTCGGGCTTTCAAACTCACGTTCATGCTAGAAATCTAACGGCAAATATTTATTATTTCATTACAAACCTAAAATTGGTGACATCAAAAGTGTTGGGGTAGTTTTCAAACCCTACAGACTATTTAGAAGGTGGTATAATTGTTACATGCTTGTACATGTGTTTGCATGTGTGTGCAGACTTGTCTCAAATTGAAAATCTCACTCCAGCCAGCAGACCGAAGTCGGCAACCCTGCATTTTATTTGAAATGAACTGTAAAATGCACTGTTTTCGGCTGAAGCAGCTTGTCTCTCTGACAATTTTAAAACAAATATGAGAAAACATTACCTATGACACATTTTATGTCTTTTTGAAATAAAACTGTCCATACTTATTTTAAAGTGCATTTAATATACAACTCCTCCCAAAACTTGCAAAAAAGTAAAAAATAACAGATATAATACCGTCACCGTACAAAAAGTGAAAAATACCGTGATGATAATTTGAGGTCATATCGCCCACCCCTAGCGCTGTCTGCTTCATGGCTTCGCTTACCCTGACATTCTTACTACAAACCAACACTTATTGACACATCTTTCAGGAGAAAACAAATAGCTTGAGTGCACATTTCCAGGCAACTGAAAATCAAATGGTCAAATCAGTAAGAATTAACCATCAAATTTTGATTATCTGCCCCCCAACTCAGGTATGATTCAGGCTCTTGCAGGATTCTTCGCCTACTTTGTCATCCTGGCTGAGAATGGCTTCCTGCCCTCTGCACTGCTTGGTATCCGTGTTCGTTGGGATGACAAATATGTCAATGATCTGGAGGACAGTTATGGCCAGCAGTGGGTGAGTGCATGTGATGTAATAAGCCTCCAATGTGTAGGCTTGGTGTTTGATCTGTTTCTGATTTCATCCTCCTTCTCTCCTTCAGACGTATGAGCAGAGAAAGATTGTAGAGTTCACCTGCCACACAGCTTTCTTCACTAGCATTGTGATTGTACAGTGGGCTGACTTAATCATCTGTAAGACCAGGAGGAACTCTGTCTTCCAGCAAGGCATGAAGTATGTGCATAAGACAGGAAGGACTAGTGGGTCTGTTGACCTTCATTTGTACCAGAAAGATTGTTGGTGTTTTACTTAATTACTCCTTTTCAAAGGAACAAGATCCTCATCTTTGGTCTCTTTGAAGAAACTGCTCTTGCTGCTTTCCTGTCTTATTGCCCAGGAATGGATGTTGCCCTCAGAATGTACCCTCTCAAGTAAGTTCATGATGTCACCTGTAAACGATGAATCATGGTGTCCTGATTCTTAAACAAATGCTCCATAGAGGCTTGTTTCTCACAATTCCATGGTGTATTTGGCATCCATTATTTTTATTTCGCTACCACTCTTACAGCTGTCATGATATACGATGCCTCGCCATCCTTCCCTGCAGCTGTGCCTCTATTAATCCTGCCATCGTGCATCAAGCACCACGTGCCTGAACCGGTCGGCCGCTGCATTGAGACATATATTTCAACCCCTGTATTAGCTTAGTCATTTCATCTTGTTTGTTTGACTCATCTGCCGGCCCCTGGAGGATGGG